GGGCCGGTCAAAAAAAAAAAAAAAAAAAAAAAAAAAAAAGAAGTTTGGGAAATGCACAAGGTAACAGTCCATATAAGGCAAATTCTAATTTCTTATGTGTAAATAAGTATAAAACAGAGCCCCAAAGTGAACACACAAAATTAAAGCCAACTTCTTCTGAAGTATCCAGTACTGGCCCAAACTGGGAGATAAATGGATTCAGGGGGCTGCTGGCCTAGCCAGAGCAGCAAATTCTATTTTCTTAAACAGAAGCACACACTAACTCATCTCACTCAGGCACAAACTCAATAACAGTCGGAAAATAACCAGGAGTTTTGCCTTGTTTTTTTGGCAATGATTTGATGCTAGGTGCCTGCAGAGAGAGCTTTATAGCTAAAACATGCTTGCTATTGCCAAACAGACTTTCGCACGCAGTCTAATGCAATATTTATCATATGCCATTGAAAGAGAACTGAAAAGATAAATGTAGGGTACATTCATAGCACACACAGCTGCATTGGTATTAATTTGATTGCCTTTGCTAACATGCAAAATAGTTTCCCACTCAAAGAAATTAATACAGATGCATCGGTACTAATTTGATTGTCTTACTAACATGCAAAATAGTTTTTCACTGAAAGAAAATTAGGATAACTCCACCATAAAGCACACAGAGACACAAAGAGAGAAAATTTGTTTATGAAGCAAGTATCTGGGACAGGATATATAGTTTGGAAAATCCTCTAAAAGCCAGAGAGTTGGTTTCTCACTTTCTACATCTTCAGTCAGGAAAAATCTTTCCATGGCCCATGCTATGATAATGGTTTCAAAATCACTTATTAAAACTTGAGCCTTTTTTTTTTTTTAACTCTAAGAAGAACTTTCCTTAAATCATTTGCAGAACAAAGGGGAATATGCACAATTATTTAATCAAACTCTCATAATAATAACGAATCACATTCACTGAGTGCTCCTCACACACCACCTTCCATATAAGAATGTCAGGACACTATCTCAGTTCATCTTCGTGACCACCCCACGAGGTAGACACTGTCACCATCCCCAGTTGATGAAGCTGAGGAACAAGTGATTCAAATAATTTGTAGAAGGTCACAGAGCCAGTAAGTAGCATAGTGGGGCCTCGAACCCATGCAGTAAGATTTTAGAGCCCCTGTTACTAATCTAATCCTTAAAAGAAAAAAGCAACATAAGAGCTTTGAATTTATTTTCCTCTGACAAAGCCAACTGACCACACGTACCTTGTGGCCTGTTTATATGATCATGTGTAGCATAAAAAGCATGAACGTGGGAATCAGCTAGAGTGGAATTCAACTCTAATCTTGCCACCATTGTGACCTTGAGCAAATGACAAACTACATGTCATTTAGTTTCCCTGTCTGCAAAATCTGAATGATAATCACTACCTTGCAGCATAAGGACTAGAGATAATGAACACAGAACACAGTAGGTGTTCAATAAGTGGCATAATAATAACAATAATGTTCAATTTACACTCAATCATAATGTTCTCTGTACTCTTTTTGATCCTTACCTAGCCCGAGGTGAAGTAACCAGTAGAGGTTACATGATGGAATAGCTGACACATTGAGGTGGCTGAAGGCACAGAGCTCTGGGTTTTCTCGTTTCCAAAAGAGAATCAGGTTTCCACCCTGAACCCTTACCCAGAGAAAATGATAAGCCTGGAGAAGGGAAAGGATGTCCCTGGAGAAGAGAGAAGATGCCTCATCTTCTAGAGAGCTACTGTCTCTTAAAGATCACTCTCTCGAGCTCCTCCCTGGAACTCTGCAGGAGACAGCTGAGTGCATAGCTACGGGATGAATTAATCCACCTCAGAGGTCAGCAGTGGGGACGCGTCCATTCAGCTTGGGCAAATACAGATGAGCATAATACAGGACTGTCCTTCCCAGTTATGCACCCTCTACTGGCAGTCATTTAAAATAAACACCCAAAAATGAATACAGTGGTGATGTCCATTCTGGTATGTTTAAGAATCACTGTTTCCAGGATGTGGGTCATCAGCTGAAGACTAATGATCTTTCTTTTGGTTTAGAAGTAAGGGCTCTCGAAAATTTAGTAGCAAGCTAATAATGAGGTTGAGTACTGAAATGGGCTGATAAATGACTCGAAATATTTTTAAGCCTGGCTGCAAAGGGAACTCACCTGATGGAATGTTGGTGGCATTGATAGTGAGATGAGCAAAAGGCTGAGCTTCAGGCTTGCCCCTCTTGGCCAGATCTAACCATGAACCTTCCACCGTAGCTGGAGATGAGAGAAACCACATTAGCCCAAAAAGTAGTGATCCTTTGGGATTTCAAATATTCATACACATCCATTTACCTTTCTCCGCTCTGATGGGCTGTGTTCCAACAATATGTTGTAATTCCTGAAATAAAAGGAAGAAGGATCTTACTTATACACTCACTCTTTCTGTAAAGCAATAAGAACTCAGGACTGAATAAGTTCTAGGTAGTGATCAATGAAAGTTCATGCCAAACAATTGGATGTTGATGTGTTTAAAAAGTACACACACCATCAAACAAACTACTTTGGACAGTAAGAGGAAATAAAAGACAATGTAAATTATAGAACATGGAATAGCAGAACGTAATTAAAAATTTGTGCCAGGTACACAAATGGAGATAAAGTTAACTAGGAAAATAACAATTACACAGAATATATGACCCTCTTAAATCTTCAGGGCGGCTCTTTTTATGTCTATTTCTTTAGTAAATTCCTATTACAGCACTGAAGCTCAGCCCACAGGAAAGAGAATGATGCCCAGCTCCCAGTGGTTAATTTTTTATTTTACAATCACGGTGTATTTAAAGTACTATAAGGAAGTCTAAGAGCTTTTAGAGTACCAATAATTAACTTAAAATATTGCTGCAAATAGGGGTTTAGAAGCATGAGCCAGAAAAAGAAAGAACGTGAGTACAAAGAGTGTAGGTAATTGCATATCTCAGTTTGAGCCCTGAGAATAAAGGATCCAATAGGTAACCACATGCCCACCAGAATCCAGACATTAACTAACATTAAATGTCACTTCTTGGGACATAGTAAGATGGAATGGATGAAAACTCAGGCTTTCACCTTGGTTCAAATTCCTGCATAAACTGAGGATATTAAAAGCACCTTTATCATAGGATGGTTGTGAAGATTAAATGAGATAATGCACGTAGCCACTTACCTGAGCACCCCCATAATTCCGATATCTAGATACTAGAAACACTCTGGAGAGATTCCTAGTTTCTCTGTTACCAGGATAACCACTTATGCTAACCATTCCTCCCATGATGTTTAAAAGATAGGCCATGTAACTTAAGTTCTTTGAGTGACTGGAAAGGAGGGCTTCGAAATAGATCAGACAGGTAGGTAGATAGGTAGGTATAGGTAAGGAGGTAAGTAGATGGATGGATGGACGGATGACAGAGGCAATAATGCAACTTCAACTGTTATCAGCCGGAAGGTTCTGGAGCTAACATTTACTCTTCTTTCTGCCTTCAGGACCCCTGTAAGAGAAGAGACGCTATTCTATTTTTAATGACCCCTGGAGTCATTAAAGACAGCAAGGCTGTCGTTAGTGACCTATTCTTTTTTGTTTGTTTCTTTGTTTTTAAAGACGACTGGTCAGGGGATCTTAACCCTGGACTTGGTGTTGTCAGCACCACGCTCTCCCAAGTGAGCCACGGG